ATGGAGCGTAACGCCCTTTGAGGAATTAAATCTGCTTTTCCTCTAGTGCCGTGGATGTGATATTGCATTACAAACAATGGATTCAGGAATAGAATGAGGGAACAATGGCAAAGCTCATTCTCCACTATTCCCTGGACTGTGAGGAGCACTGATCAGCTGCTGGTTCTCCGGCATGTAACCTGAGCCCCTCACTCAGGACTGTTAGAAGCATATGTAGCTTGTTCAAGGCTAAGAGGGCAGGAGGCCAGATATAGAATGCACTAATGGAGGTGACAGGAGACTGGAGTTTACAGCCAAGGTCAGCAGTGCTGGAACAGCCTGTCTTCAGCTGGGGCCATTAAATGGCTCAGATTTGTTCAAATTTGCTGTTTCCTTCCTAGCTGAAAAGAATAGTAGAGAAGAAACAGAATTCAATCTTAATATTTTTCTTTTAATTGTTTAATAATAATAATAATAATAATAATAATTTATTTATACCCCACCCATCTGGCTGTTGACTTTAAAAGCTCAGAAACTCTCGCCTAAGCGATGCTTCAGACCATGAACAATACACAATAAACAGTTGGAATCCTGGCACTGCTTGTGAGGAAATGAGTGGAGATATTGCACTGACATGTTAAACAGCCCTGCTACTTTTATCTTATTTATGTCCAGGCTGCCTCACAGAGCAGTACACCACTTTGTTTATTCCACTGGCTTGAAAGTTTCAAAATGTGGCAACTCTTTTGTGGCCTTCCTCTGTGTGTGTGTGTGTGTGTGTGTGTGTGTGTCTGTCTGTCTGTCTGTCTGTCCGTCTGCCTTTCTCTAAACTCTTGTTTTCTCCTAGGAACTGTATTCAGGGAAATGTGTGTAGGTTTGTGGGAAGGGAAGGCCTTAAACATACACGTCAAGAAGGATTCCTAAGCATGTATCCAGGGGTGAGGCCAGAGGGGGAAAGTGCATGGATCAGTGCATGTGACTCGTTAACATTGTGCAGAAGGTTATATTCCAGCCATGCAAAGTGAAAGGTTACCACACCCACGTCTTTCTTTTCTCCATCCCGACAAGCAAGAGGCAGTATCACAATTTAGGAGCACATTCCAGCCACAAACACACTCAAGGAGGGCCTGGAGCAAGGTCAGTGAGGGGTGTGTCCAGGGAGGCCTAGTGGCTTGGCTGGTGGAAGTCTCCTGGACAAGGTAAAAAGTCCTGGGGGTTCTCCACCCTTAATGTCTCTAATAAGGGGGGGAAATCAATGAATCGTGTTTCTGCTGTCACAGGACTCGGCAACACTGCAGCCTTCTCATGGAGAAAACCATGGATTCTGCCGTATAATATCATCATGGTGTGAGGAAGGTTACAGGGCATCTCTTTGCTTCTGTAGTTATGCAGAATGGGACTTCTTGGCAACTTACAGCGGCACAGGAAGAAACCGCTTGGTGTCCTCATGGCAGTGCAGAACGCTTCCTCTGTTCATGTAAAAAAGAACTCTGCCAAAGTGGTTTGAGCCAAAGTCAGTAACAGTTTATGACTTCAGCCCCCGGCTCAGAGGATGTACATGCTATATATATATATATATATATGCACAAATTGACACAGCAAATAGTCCTAAACACAGGAGAAGGTAAAATGCTTTGACCCAATTTCAACAAAAAGCACATCCATCACTCTGAGCTGTAAGTAAAAATACAGATATGATTTTTTGGGAGGGCAGTAATAAAAGACTTTGAACTCCCTCTGCTTTCATGCAGGAATGGGTTTGTGGGCAGCAGTTAGCTCTGGTGCTTCTCTCCGAACCTACATGTGCCTTGGACCTCATGCCTACAGCCAGCACGCCTCTTGATCCTGCTCTCCGGCATGTTAGTTTTAGCTCTGCAAGTTGAAAGGAAGGACACTTTGCTTTGCAAAAACCTAGATTGAGCAAGGAGATACTCTCACACAGTCTGTGATATATTGCCTTTATTCTATCTATAGCTAGAATGCTGTTCTCATAGTTCCCATTTTAGGATTGCTTCATCCATACCAGGAAGTTACGAGTTTTGTAAGACTAGGTGGTGATTTGAGACCAAAGATACCACCATAAGATGAAATGTAATCATCTTCTTGTCTTTTTTTCTTGTCTTTTTTTACCTCCCCTTTGTGGCTCTATTGCTTTGCCTTCAATAAAATCCTAGATATGAGCATTCCAAGATTTGGATAGGCAGCAGAACCAAATTAATAAATTTGTACCTCATTCTTGTGAAATAATTTGTTGTTGTGTCCGACTCTTCGTGACCCCTTACCTCAGGTTAATTCAGATAGCTTAAAACTTTAAAATTTCAGGCCCTGACCTCTAGCGCTGTTCTAGCAAATTGGTGAGCCATGATTTGAGATTCCAATGCAAACCTCTTTTTAAAGAATCAGCCTCATCTTGTACCGACTCTTGTCCAAAAAAAATACATGCTAAGGTGCTGATAGGCACTTTCTGTCCATCCGTCTGTCTGTCTGTCTGTCTGTCTGTCTCTCTCTCTCACACACACACACACACACACAACCCCAAAATATAGAGCTCTAATAACCCTGTGACCAAACTTATCAACTGCCTTGTTTTGCTTTCAGTATTTCTTGTTTTGCAGCAGTTCCTATATTTTGGTAAACATTCTTTATTTTAGAATATCTGTTTTTTATTTTAAAAAATAGTAAAGAAAAGTAATAAATTTAAAAAGGAATCCAGCTGACCTCTTACATCTTACTGCTTTGTTCTATTATAATTTATGTAGTGTTTATAGTATTCATAGTATCTGAAGTGCTAGGTAGAATTGCCTCAAAGTAAAGCTGTTTTCCACTTATTTTTACCTAGCACAAATAACATCAAAGTAGAAGTTGAAAAAGAAATGTACTTTAAAAGTAACTAAAGGGAGATCTTTTTTCAGTTAATCCCAAACAACCTGTAGAATCTTGAGAAAATGTTTCACACTTGCCTTTTTTGCTATCCTAACTCACTGGAAAAGGTACAGTGGTACCTCGGGTTACATACGCTTCAGGTTACATACGCTTCAGGTTACAGACTCCGCTAACCCAGAAATAGTACCTCAGGTTAAGAACTTTGCTTCAGGATGAGAACAGAAATCGTGCTCCGGCGGCGCAGCAGCAGCAGGAGGCCCCATTAGCTAAAGTGGTACCTCAGGTTAAGAACAGTTTCAGGTTAAGAACAGACCTCTGGAACGAATTAAGTACTTAACCCGAGGTACCACTGTACATTAAAAAACAACAGCAGCCAGTGAGCTCAGCTTTGGGGCCCCTCAACTCAATATTACAGGTCAAAGGAAACCACCTTATGTTGAGATACACAGGCAGATCCAAAATGCCATGCCAGGGACATGCTTCTTGACAAGATATAATGCACAGTATGTATTTTTGTCAGAAAGCAAGATGGGCACCTTCATGCAACACGTTAGCATTCATATCCAGACTGGCAGAATCACCAATGTGAATTATCCTGTATCTTGGAACAATGTTGAGATGTGGATTCACCCTCTCTTTTATCTGACATAGCTCTCTTCCCCCACCCAGCAGACTTCAGCATACATAGGGTTAAAGATCCTCTCCTCTGCCACTTTGGCTTGGCGCCCAGAGTATTGATTACGCCCCTCAACAATAGCAAGTCATTAGGAGATGTTTTCTTATTTGGTCTCACAATTGCCCCTGACACTAAAGCCACTGCCGAGGGGCCTTGTCTTGGAGAAAGCGCAGCAGGAATAATCCAGCAGGGTCAGAAGGAGGGGTCAGAGGCCAGAGGCCAGGACAGGTCAATGCTAGGCACCCAAAGCTCCAAGCCAGTGGAGCAGGTGAAAGGTCCTTTTTGGTTTCACACTAGCCACCCTTTTGGAAACTTAAGATCCACTTTGGGAGATTCAGTGAGTTGGCTCACAATAACCTGGAGTAAAGGACAGGAGATGACATATGTCCCATAGTTTTTCTCCCAGAAGAAAAGTGGAAAACTGGAAAGGGGAAGAAGGGCAAATCTGAAATATGTCACTGCTTGGGCTTTTCTATGCCAAACATAGCGGAAGAGGAGAACCAGATAGCTTACCCTGCAGCGACAGCCAGTTGCATGTGACTTGGGCTCAGGCTGCCTTCCTATAATCAAACAGCAGCTTTTTCCCCTTGTAAGAGGTTTTTTCCCTGCGCTAAAAGAAAATGTCTAGACAGTAACAATAACAACTGGGCCTTGTATGTGTTCAGGGAATGCCTATCAGAATTCTTATAAATATATTTGGGAACCAACCTCCAGGAATGCCTCCTCCACAGAAAACTGTTTTTGCACAACTTACATTCATTTCAGTAAGGTGTGCATAGAAGACTGGACATACTGCATTCAGCTGAGTCTTGCTCTTTACTTCCAGTGCAGTGCACTTAAGGTACCCCTGCCCGTACGGGCCAGTCTTGCCAGACTCTAGGGTTGTGCGCCCATCTCACTTAAGAGGCCGGGGGCCAGCGCTGTCCGGAGACACTTCCGGGTCACGTGGCCAGCGTGACAAGCTGCATCTGGCGAGCCAGAGCCACACACGGAAACGCCGTTTACCTTCCCGCTAGGAAGCGGTCCCTATTTATCTACTTGCACCCGGGGGTGCTTTCGAACTGCTAGGTTGGCAGGCGCTGGGACCGAGCAACGGGAGTGCACCCCGCCGCGGGGATTCGAACCGCCGACCTTTCGATCGGCAAGCCCTAGGCGCTGAGGCTTTTACCCACAGCGCCACCCGCGTCCCTTTACAGTGCACTTACCTTATAGTAATAGTTCATTAATAAATATAGTATACCTCTGAAAAAACAGGCCATTTCAAAAAGAAGGTTTAGAAAAAGAAGGCTTTTTAAAGACTCTCTGAGGTGATGCTGAGCAGAACACAAACAGAATGGATTGTAAAATTGGCATTTAAGTTAGCTTCTCAGTTGATTTTTAGGAGGACAGAAAATGTCTGAAAACTAAAGCAGTTGTTTCCATCTGATGTGACAAACTGTTCCTTCTCTTTCCCCCAGTGCAGCAGTCCCTGGATCTGCCAGCTGGAGGAGTGAGAGGTTAGGCCCAAAGGACAGAATAAGTATACACATTCATATCTATGTGCTGAGATCTAGTCTGGCCCTATTTGATTCAAATATACTAGACTCTGAATTTCAAATGGAAAATGCCAGCTCCTATGGTAATTGTTAGAATTGACTGGTTTCACTACGCTTTTGAATTCTTAGATCCTCTTTTCAGCACTACTGTAAGATTTTTGTCACTTTTCATAACTTTTCTATCTGTTTCAACATATATATTATGTGAGGCACAGTAACAGAATCCACTACGGAAAAATTAGAGGCACAGTTGGTGCTTCCAGATATCAGTTTCTTCAGCAACCACAGTTCCAACACAAGTGTTGGACAGGAACAGGAAGTACCTCAAAGGAAGAAACTTCCTGACATAGGGGTTTGACATGCTGTTGTGCCCTGTTTGACACTACTGCTGTCATGTCATCTGTGCAGCTTCTCCTGTTTAATCTATTGGACCAGCAGCAATTGTCACAAGGACCAGCAAAATCCCCACATGGCTTTTAGGGTAATGATTCAGTGCATCTGGGGCATGGAAACACATCTGTCTGAAAGCTGCAGCAGCTAGTGGGTATACTGACCAGCGGATTTGCTGACAGATCAGATCCTGTCTTATTTCTCTAGTAAATTATAATTACAATTTGGTACAATGAGGCTACAATATTTCATTAAGTAATCTGTGAACCCTCAACTGATGCTTAATCTGCTCTTGATCAGGGAAAATGGTTGGACCAGTCTTGATGCACATCATTCCAAGCAAACTTTGTCTGATCAAAATTACAGACCAATAGATTGAGCCACGATTTGATATTCCAAAGCAAACCTCTTTTTAAATATGTAGGTCTCCTTTTGACCCACTGTTATTCAAAAACATGCATGCTAATATGCTGGTAGACACATTCTTTCTCTCTCTCTCTCTCTCTCTCTCTCACACACACACACACACACACACACAGAGAGAGAGAGAGAGAGAGAGAGAGAGAGAGAGAGAATGAAGACCTGATTCCTTGTTCACACAGTACGTTTCTCATAAAGCTACAGCTGGCCGGAATTGCTGACAATTGTATATTTGACTTGCCATTTTTACCTACATTTTTTCATCAAATGCATTTCCGAATATAGCAGGAACGGAAATTTTGGGTGAGAGGAAATCAGTATTCATAGAGTCTTGGTACCTGTACACAACTTGCTTCTCCCTTCCTTCTAAATCTAAGCCATTGCAGCTCTCCAGTCTTCTGCTTTAGGCTGCTCAGAAAGGCGTACTTTCTACTTGCTGATTCAAAACCTGCCTCCTGTCATATTTCTGGAGAGAAGAAAAAGTAGCATTCGTCTTTTTACTTTTAATTGTAACATTCTACAAAATCTGTGGAGGTAGGCATGGCAAAATTTAAGCTAGGAAACATGTAACCAACACCATTTCCCCTTCTGGTCTGACTTGTCACGAAACCCTAAAACCATTCCTCTGCAATAACCGTAGATTTCACTATTGTGTTACCGTCTCTTGCACACAGCTGACTTTGCCAGTATGAGTTCTGGAGACAAACTCAGGTGCAGGAAATACACCCCTATGTTCCCTGCTGAGTTGTTTGACATAGGAGGCAACTGGGTGCTTTCTTGAGGCACAAAAGTGAACAGCCCAGAGAAGTGGGCTCCCAGAATCCTCCTCTGTTCTCCTAGAATGTCACACCCACACTTCCCTTTATCTCCTGTTCTGCTTCCTCCTCTAATCATTCTGTGGCTGCTTGTTTTCTGCCTCCCTCAGACATGGCATTGTGACTCAGAATTGCTGCAGGCACGCCATAAATAGGCTTGTTGGGGAGGGGGGAGCAAGTGATCAGAAAGCACACTTCTCCATCTTGCCATTTGAACTTCAGCTTCTCCCACAATACAGAAGAACACAATACAGGAAGCGCTTGTATACACCATAACTTAAGATGTATAGTGGAAGCCTCTCTTTTGCTACAAGTAAAAAAGGCAAAGGACCTCTGGACGGTTAAGTCCAGTCAAAGGTGACTATGGGGTGTGGCGCTCATCTCGCTTCAGGTCAAGGGAGAATCTGGAGAGCTGGTATTGAATGTGGCCTTTTGATCCACGCACTCACAGAAAATATAAACTTCTGTCACACTGTACTTACTGTGCTTGCACATTTTCTTTGTTGTAGAGATTCATCCCACATTGCAAAAACCACCAATTTAAAGCACCTCTAGTTATGGCCCTGTCTGAGAGTAAGATTTCCCTCAATAGTTCTAGCTAATGAAATTAAGCAGCCTTTTAAAAGTTATTGCTTTACTTTTTTTTTACTTTTTTGCTTTTTATTTTTTGCTATTGAAGTTCAAATTCCAGGTCCCTTTCATTTTATGTACTTGGATTCACTTAAAGCAGTAAGACAGGAAAATTCCATTCTGGCTGTGTGGGTATTTAGCAAGCCCTTATTGCCACAGGACATCAGTTATCTCTCTAAAGTTTTTAAAAATAGAATTATCAGCAACAATCTCTCTTTTTCTTCGTTCCCCTGCAGGGGGTCAGTTCAATGGGTTCTTTTCCTCTGTGGATTCTGTGAAGAGCTGTGATTGGATGTAATTCATCTAGCAGTAATTTACATTGCATATCAGAAAATGAGAAGTGATGTGGTGTGTAAGCAGTTGTGTTTTTTTCCAGTCTGTACATGCAGGGGCTAGTATTTTGTGCACCCTCTGCTGGCTTTGTTGAGTAACAAATTGATTCACATAGCTGTGCATGCTGGTGTTTTGCTGATGAGCAACTTTTGCTGATGTTTTGGCAAGATCGGGTGTTGCATAAGCTGTTGATGTTACTTAAAGGAAAGTGCTACATATATTCATTGCATCTCAAATTGAAACATTGGGGTGGAGGAATCAATGTTTACCAGATGGAAAGTAATTTAGAAAATGTAGTATTCCCATGCTAATGTGGTCATAAGCTCAGTGAAGTAGGAAAACATGAAACAATAGTGGTGGCTTTCTGTTTTTGTGTGTGTGTGTGTGTGATGCTATTCATACTATGGTACCTGGCATTCAAAATTGAGACTTCAGGAGCTGCTATCCTCCCTTCAGATTTCTTTCTCTCCAACTAATACTGTTTAAGGAGTTTCTTATTCTTAATTTGCCGGTGTTAACCTTCAGTAATCAGTATGGTTGCTTCCTTTTCTTCAGATGTGCTTCTCCTTTCAAGGAACTAACACACTCTTCTTAAGAGCAGCTTGAAGCAGGACAGAGCTGTGCGATGAAGAGAACACAAAGTTCCTTGTGATTCCTAGTTTGCTTCAGTCCCGCCAGTGGTGCAGTAATGGCTCTTGGGATTACTATCTTCATATGGGGGGGGCTGGCCTTACTGAGAAGCAGAGAAGGAGGATGTCCCCCTGCACCCTTTCGGGGCAACATCCTGTAAGTTACTTTGCTTAGGGCAGGGTCTGCACATTGCTGAGACATTGTGGCAGAGCTGGATAGCCCTAACGAAAGCAAATACGTAAGATGAAATTGGCTGGCTGGCTGAGGCCTGCAAAGCCCACCATCGGCTGGTAGCCCATTTGTCCCCTTTACCCTTCCTGTTGATGTATCTGGTGGGTGTCACTGGCACAGCTAGGCTTGGGGGGCGGGGGTCAAATTCTGCCTGCTGAGAATTTTCTCAACATAACACAAAACCATGGATTTTATGGATAGTGGTGAGGATTATTCTAGTGTTTGAATCTGGCCTCATGTTTGTGTGAATCTAGGTTGGTTATTAAACAGCAGATCAGCTTCATGATGATCTAGATGTCCTCTTATTTTCAGTCAGAGTCGAAGTCAGTTGCAAGGAAGCAGATGGAGAAGAAATTAAGAGGTACATGCAAGGGCAAAAGGAGGGAGGAGGGTGTTTTTTTCATACATGCAAGCATATGATTTTTCCATATGGATGCTTATGGGTTTTTTCTCTCTGCAAAGAAATAGACTCTTGTCTATTTAAAAAGCAAACATTCCCTTGTGATGACCCTCTAAGGATCTCACAGCTAATATAGTTTTATAAACAGTTTGCAATGTCATGTAGAAGCCTCTAAAAGTACTCTCTTTAGAAACAATGCTTCTGTCTCACATTTCCTGGCATTTTCTTCTGCAGCGCTTGACGTGTTAGTCTTCAAAACAAGATCCCTGTTGCGATGGATTCATCTGCTGCTTTGGGTTGCCTTCATTTGATCGTGGCCACAATCCAGATAGCTGTTACTTGTGCCCAAGGACTTTAGTTTCCTCAGTGAGACTCTTTTTATTATTATTTTAAGCAGTCCCTGGTCAACAAACTGCTTTTGAAACTCTCCCAGTTCCCAAAAGTGGCTATGCAGGGGAGCTGCAGTTCCTTCTTTAAAGGAAAATTTATATATCAAAAACCTCACTAGCCAAGTGTAGGTAATTGTACTGGTCTGTGGATCATAGTAGCCTTTAGACAGAGCTTTCTGGCAGTGGCGTAGCTTGGGTTGTCAGCACCCGGGGCAAGGCAAGTAATTTGCGCCCCTTAACCTGTGGATTTGCGCCCCCTAACCCGTGGATTTGCACCCCCTAACCCGTGGATTTGCGCCCCCTAACCCGTGGATTTGCCCTAACCCCAGATGTTGCGCCCGGTGCGCCCGGCCCCCCCTGCACCCCCCACGCCACGCCACTGCTTTCTGGTGTCAGATGAGGAACTGATAGGGAACTCTAGCCACACAGTTCTTAATGAGTTTGCATCCACATCAAATGTCTACATGCACTGCAAACTGTTTATATGCTAACAGTGAGATCCTTATCCTGCTATGATGATTTTATGAAGAAGGGTGAGTTCAGACGATGAATTAATTTGATGCCAGCTGAAACATTGTGCTAAAACTAAAAAAGGATAAAGAATACATTCCCACAAGGAAGCATAGCTCATGGGCATAGAATGTCTTTCTTTTACTAGCCAAATTATTCATCAGCTGCTGAATCGCTTTTGGAGCCCTGGTACATAGAGCTGGCAAGAAATCC